TCCCATTTGTTTCTCATCTTTAGGGCACTTCAGTTTTTCCTCGTATTGTCCCCTAAAGACATAAGCGAAGGACAGGGTCAGAGCAGTCAGTTGTAGTCCTTATTAGTGGCTTTGATAAGAGGCTTTGGGGGAAGAGGTTGAAACTAATGGCTGTAATGAAATTTTGGGTTCTGTAAAGATTTCATTTATCTGTGCTAACAGTCCCTCCCATGAAATGCATATGTTTTTGTGCCTTTTCATGTGATTTGCATATCAGAACAGCTATTACTGAAGCCTTCTCAATTTCTTATATGGAAAAGTCTGTGTAACTTAACTCTTAGCGAACATGAAAATATAGGCAACAATGGTTATAGCTTCAAGTGTAGAATAAGGCCGTTTTTGGGAGAACAGAAAAACAATACTAGATACAATGTACTGTAGTTTGAACATATATAATGTAAATATAATTCTATTTTTGTCCTCAATCCAATAGTCAGTCACAGAATATTAAAAAGATTATTTTTTTTTTTATCATAGGGCATAGTATAATTTGAGTTTTAGAAACCTTTGGACAAATTCACAGATAGAAGATGTCAACTGTTATGCTTCATTTCCAGATGTTGCAGATTTGGAATTCTTCACAATTTCTTTTAAGAATAATGACATTTCTTGAATTTAAAGTATTTAATAAAACAAAAGACAAAAAATTTTTTCTTAATAGTCTCCATTCTCCATGATTCTTAAGTATATATTAACTAGTTTTAAATGTTTTCATTCAGTGACTCAAAGCCAGCCCTTTATTTAAAAAAAGAAATTGTGTAATTAGTACTTAATTGCTTTGGATGTATTGAGTATTTGTAGAAGAGGGTAACTCAAAGGCCAGAGAAATTAAACTTTCACAATGTTCTTTAGACATGTATAATTTCTTTTTAAAAAATAGATTTCTAAGACGGGTCTGACAACTTAGAAATAAACAAAGACATGGGCTGTTTTTATACATTTGTAATAATTATTATTTTAAATGATTTTTAAAAATTAACATCAGTTTGATCTGTGACTCCTGTTTTCTTGATATTTTTTAGAGTTATACAGCAGAGAGTACCACTAAAGGTCCACAGATCAAGCAATTACCATGCTCATCTCCTGTTGGGGGAGATGTGGTCTAAGTAATATGGGTGGGTGGCCAGCTGCTGATCCCACAAGAAAGTGAGAACACTCAAGTGTTACACATCACAAAGAATAATTATTTAAAATAATTATTATTGCAAATGTATGAAAACAACCTATGTTGTATATTTTACACACAATCAAATTTAAACATTTGCCATAATTAAGACAGGGATGCATTCTATCTGGACAAAGAAGAAACTGGTTGACCTGAGCTCCTGTGCTGTATCTGTACCTATCTGAGTGATCCTGGTCCTTTAGGTTCTCTAGGTTACTTTTATTATGTATTATATGTAATATATGTGCTGTATATATTTGACTGTTATTCTCTTAAGACTTTGCTAGTTCAGAATTACAGTTTTTCATGAGATACATCTGAAACTTTACATTTTGTGGATCAGGAAGAAAACAGATCTGCTTTTGAGTGATAATATTGTCATATTTATTATGTTAGTAATAAACATTTCCACTATGATATTAATGAGCCTTGTGATTATGAAATATTTGGGGTTCTTAAATATATGCCTTAAACCAGAAGAGCCTTACTTTGTGCCTGTTCTTTTCACTGAGTAAGTTAACAGTACTTGGAAATTGAAGTAAATTAAATTAACAGGAATTGGAATTGGGGGGTGTGAATTATACTTAAAGGAATACATATTATTGCCCCCTCCAGATAATACTGTTCTTGATTTTTTTTTCCTGAATTTTGATTACTTTTGTTGAAAAAAATCTCAACAGATTACTTAAACATTTAGTTTCCATTTAGGAAATTCAAACAATAAGTACCCATACTTGGTTCATATATCTGAAAAGTATTGTGAGAACCGGTATGTAATGCATGATTCTCAAAGAAAATATGAAATATAAAACTGTCTATAGAATAGAAAATAAAAATCTGAACAGGTCAGTTGCCCTAGAAGACATTGGAAGAGGGACGAAAGAGCCACTGAGAAGTAGCACTAGACAGGGAAAATTCTACCCAGACTTCAAGGAGTAGATAAATCCAATGTCAGTATGATACCATTGGAAAAAAGGAGAAACTTTAACCATCGGTGTTAGCGAAAAGGATGCAGTCCCTTTCTTAACAAGTGGGATGAACCTTAGCTTGAGAGATTTGGGTTCACAGGTGAAAAATGACAGCAGAAATACAGGCAAAACCTTGAACTTTGGGTCAAATTTTTTGGCTTTGTGCTTTTGTTTGTGCATGGGGAGTTGAATCGAAAGATAAATATGACTAGGCTTTATTGACAACATGAATATTCTTTAAAATGTACTTGTGTCTTGTTTTTGAGCATTAAATGTGTGTGGAACTACTGTTGGTGGTGAGACTGAGGCAGATAAGACATTAAAAATAAGAAGAAAAGTCTTTTAATCAGAGAAGCAGCGTAAGATCTAAGCATAGCAGTACAAAGGAACACAGAAAGAATGAGGAAAGGGCTGACAACAGAGTATATAACTCAGCATCCCAAAGTTAGAACTCTAACGTGTCAGCCAGAATCTGAGCCTGTACACAATACTTTGAATAGAGAAATCTTTATATATCTGGAGGCAAAGAAAGACTTACAATGCAGAAGGCAAGAAATCAGGCCAGAAAGGTGAAGCTGACCCTCAGAGCCTCTTAATGCAGTAGTCAGTGATACATCTCGTGGACAGAGCAGGTAAAGGATGCTGGCTCATCGTACGTACCATGTACTACTGTCCATGGCCTGCTTTTTCCTCTGAACTTCACCAACTTTGCCTTTTCCTTTCTTAGGAAATCTAGGATGGAAGACATCATGTGACAGCTCGAACAGGGGAGGTAGGGAGGTGACAGAATTGAGTAAATAAAGGAACGTTTCAAGTGTTTAGAATAACCTCTTATAAAAGTAGAAGTCTTATTTCACGGGTGATGCACAGACTTACAAATGGCATTTTTTTGGGTACAGTTCCTGGGGATCAAAATTAATATTCAGTGAAAGAACAAAGTGGAAGGAGGGAGTGAAGAAGGAAACGGAGGTGGGGAGAATCAATAAAATAGCAATGGTGTTTTTAAGTTCTCTATAAAAAAGATGCAAATATTTCCTAGCCTCATTTAACGTTTTATGTTCAGGTTTTTGGGGTTGGAGTTTTTAAATTTTCACGTTAAGGAAGTCATGCAGTTTAAATAGTAGGTATTGTATTAGTAATTTCAGTGCCATGAACAGGACTGCGCATCTGCTTTTAAAGGAATTTTATTGTGTGCATTTGGATTACTTGGTGACCTTTGAAATTTTGTTTTGAGCTGCTATCAGAAACATAATCATTTTTTCTTTCTGAAGCAGATTTTTAACATCTACAAACGTTGATCAAGCTAGGATAGTTTTAATGAAATATTAATCTGTCTTTTTTAATGTCAGCCCTGCTTTTGAGACTATGTCATCACCTATCTAAAACATCAGCTCAAGGCACTGGAGATGATTTCATTAAATGCCTTTTCCATTAAACATTCTCATTGTGGTCAGAGTAGAGTTAGGTGACAAATTTTTCCAGTCTTGTTTTCTATAACCCAATTTGCAAATTCCATTATTTTTAAATTAATAGTAATTTGTGGCACATTGTCTCAGGTTAACTTAATAGTTTTTAAATTTCAAAAAGGGAAAATGGTTCCAAATTCTAGCCTCCATCCTTTAAAATCTGGATAGTCTAAAGATACTGAATTTTATCAAAACTGAACTTAAATATCTACTTTAAATATGTATCTTGTCATTAAAAGGTTATTTATGTTTAAAATGCTGACCTTTCAAAATGTACACAAGAGTGTTCTAAAACAGAGTTTCTGAACATTGGCCATGAAGCCACTGTGTTGGGCTGACAAATGGATTGGAAATAAGCGACCGACACTGGGAATGGGCCATTAATTTTAATCAAAGGTGATGCAAGAAGGCGAATGGGATGCACGGCAATGTCAACAGCCCAGTAGGTGTTAAGGGACCACACAGCCTTCCTTGTTACTTGGTTGAGCCATTAGTTGAGGTTGGGTGAAGACAGAAAGCTACGTCTGGAATTGAATGACCAGGTCACTCCGAAATATAATGGAGAACTCCCCATTTCAGAAATCACATTGTAATGCCATTAGAAGCCAAGGACAGCATTTAGAAAGCATTGAGGTTTTTTGTTTTTTGTTTTAAATTAAGCACCTTGTTAGTTTTTCCCAACTTTGTCAGGCTTCTCATTTTCCTGCTTCTATTCCTTCTGCATACATCCTTGGTATTTGCAGAGGATCAAGAAATCGAACAGACGAAGGAAAAAATTTCAAAGTCTGTTTGCTTTTCAGAATTACATAGTTAGTTTAGAACCCTAGTAAATACTAGAAACACTAGTGTACCATAGGAGTTAAGCAAGATAATTAATTCTTTGCAGTGGTCCCATTGTCCTTGTCCTTTTCTTGTGTATAGGAATAGTTTTGCTAATTGAAACTAAATTTTCTTACTGCTTTAATGCAAGTGTTTGCTTCATAATTGTAAAGGTCACAATCCTTGTGCTTTACTATAAATTTTCAATATTGATTGATAATGTTAGTGATGCTCATGGTAATAAAATCCTTTTTTACAATTAGTAAGTATATTTCTTTGAGTATTTTCAGTTATGAAAAAAGGTAGCTATGACAGCTTGACTTGATGTTTGTAACCACATAAAAATGCAAACAAGACAAAGAAGCAGTTTTTATGTTTCAGGTTTGCTAAAATTAATTTCTTCTGACACAGCATTGCATGCATAAGAAAGATATGTGTGACTGCATTAGTAATTTTTATACATATTTAAGAAAGAAAAGCAATTATATTGCTGTCTGGTTAATGGAACACTGTTATAAGTAATAGTGTTTGTTCTTTCTGTAGATGAGGATCAGCTCCGTGCGAAGGGTTATGACAAAACACCAGACTTTATTTTACAAGTACCAGTTGGTGAGTTCCTAAACTCTGTTATCATTTGTTAATAGAGAAGATAAGATTTTTTCCATTCCTTTTTAAAATACGTTAATATTAACAAATGTTACCAAAATATATTAGCTTTATAATATTGTATCTAAATGGGTCTAATAGTTGGGAAAGATTATTGTAAATATCAGAAAATACTAAATTCTGAAGAAATTTATGCCTTTAAAAGTTTTCCATATAATGGAGAAATGAGTGTGGAGTATGCCTTCTAATTTCAGCTGCCACTTTCAACTCATTTCTCTAAATTGTGAGTTTTTAAAACAATTCTGTTGAGTAGGTAGTTTTACTTTGGTCTGCTTAACATGTCTCTGGTCAAGTTATGGAATCACATTCTTGAACTAGAAAAGGACTTGGAGAATGTCATGACAATGAAAAGGATGTGACTGTAGTGTAACTGTTCACTGCGATGAGCATGCACCATGCCTTGTTTTATAATTACATCCAGAGTAGATGGTAAGGCTAAACCTCTGCTCATTAATGTGAAACGTGGAGAGGCCTCTGCAGAGTTCAGAATTTTCAATCTTCCCTTCTCTTCACCGTATATTAGTAATGCTTTGTCTCTTAGCTGTAGAAGGGCACATAATTCACTGGATTGAAAGCAAAGCCTCATTTGGTGATGAATGTAGCCACCACGCCTACCTGCATGACCAGTTCTGGAGCTACTGGAATAGGTAAGGCCCCATTATTTTTCTCTTAAGATAAACGATGCTCAGCTGAAATCTCATTAGAAAAAATATTTTGTTTAGCTGGTAAAAATGCTAGTAACCTTTTTTGTAGTAAATATAGTCTTGATTAATGTATTAATTTTAGATAATTTAAACTTCTCTGCTTCCATAATGTTGCTTCATTTTTTTAAAACTTAAAGTCTCTGTATAAGGTCAAAGTTAGTATATACTCTCATATTTTATACTGATAATATTTAATATTGGTGCATTTGAAATATGTATAACAAAATGTGATACATATTATAGCCACTGCATTTTTAATCCTTTTGGTGTGAAATATATACTTACTGTCAGACCATAAAAATAATTATTTCAGCTGGAGAAAATATCCATATGATTTGACTTTTTTTTTTCTTTTTTTTTTAAATGGGGATTGAACTCAGGCCCTTGCGCTTGCCAGGGAAGCACTTATTCTACTGAGCCATCTCCCTAGCCCCAGTTTTCTTTTCTTTTCTTTTCTTTTCTTTTCTTTTCTTTTCTTTTCTTTTCTTTTCTTTTCTTTTTTTTTAACAGAACTGGAGATTGAACTCAGGACCTTGCGCTTGCCAGGCAAGCACTTATTCTATTGAACTATCTTCCCAGCCTCTCATATGATTTGAAAGCTGAAAATGATTCAGCTTATAATAATAGAAAACAGTTTCCAAAGAGATGAGGCTCTCAGCCATTATGAAAGCATTAAGGATGCCCAGACCTAAGATTATTTCATTTAATCCTCACTAGGTACTTAACTGCCCCCATTGTATAGGTAACTAAACTGATACTCAAAAGGAGAAAATAGTGTAGGATTCAGCTAGTTACCGTGGGCCTGCATTTCTCCAACTCACTCCCAAACCTGAATCCTTTCCAACAGAATATTGTTGGCATGTCATACAGCTGTTGAAACTTTGGCTTCTTCTGTGATTACACTCCTAAGTTTTCACACCATGCATTTTTCCCTCTTACAATGTTGATTTTTCCCTTCCTAGATTAGCTTCATTCCTAGGTCAGATGCAGCAATGAGATGACACTGGCCCAGAATAAGAAAGGAGAGAGTAGATCCGTGGACAAGAGTTTCAGCCTGCAGTGGGGCTAGGGGTCGGCAGTGACAGGCTGTGGAATTTGGTATTATACTGTTAGCCCGCTTTACAAAAGGCCAGCAGCCATCGCCCATAGCAGCTGTGCTAAACTAAGCCTACTTTTTGCCATGGTAACAATGATCATGACAAAATGCTGGATGTAATGGCTTTCTTGATTTTCTTGTGTAATTGCGCGTAGCATCCGAGCTTTACTTTACAGGGATGGAGGAGGAAAGTGCAAAATGTTTTAGAAATCAATGCTGCTTCAGCATTTCCTGTGTTTTATTCGGCCATTATTCAAATTAGCAATAATATGGCAAATTGAATTTTAGATTTTTAGCAATTTTATGATGAGTTTGAAATAGTAAAGAAAGCATCATTTTCGATAGTATAGGGAAAGTAATGACAAGAAAATCAAATGGCGTAAGTTTAGGTTGCTAAAGGATTGAAAAGAAAAAACCTGATGGAGTAAATCAGTACACACAGAGTCAGTTTTTCCATTTGGTACTGGTCAAGTTTTTCTGAAAAACAATTGTAAGTTGAATCCCGGATACTAGAGCTTACTTAGAAGTTCCAGAAGCATATCTTCATTCTACAATAAGTCAGCTGTTTATTGAGAGCTGTTGTGTGCCTAGCACTCATCACTTAGAGCCATGTTAAATAATCTGATCATCTGTGCAATAGATTTACAGATTATTGCCATGGCCAGAAGGGGTCTGAGTGATGGATAATTTAATACAGTTTCCTGTGAGAGGGATTTTTACTTTCTTTCTTTTTTTTTTTTTTTTTGCATTCTACTTTTTCCATTGTAATGATATTTTACTTAGACTATTATTGATTTACATTCCCTGAATGTATATTTTTATATATACTAGCCAAGTAGACATAAATTTATGGGTGATAAGGGAACATCAGCCTTGTGGCCCCAATTATTCAGGAAGAAAATACTCTACAACGAAGTCGCTGACATTACCAGCTGCCTGCACAGAAACCACAAAAGCCAAGTAATGCTCCACCTCAAATGGAACATGGTCATATTTACTTGGATATAAACTTTGGGTTGTAATAAGAACGTGGACTTAGCAGTGATGGGGTGTTTTGATATAAGGAGATAGCAGCCCACTTGTGAAATTGTGGGATCCTGCTGTTTTCATATTTTGCCTCAACAGAACTCATACAGAAGTTGAGAAAGTTTCTTTAGAGTTGAAAGAATTCTTTAACCTGTAGACAGACTTTGAGGAAAGCTCCTGGATGGTATTTGAGCCATTTTATTCATGTAATAAGGCCCCGGTGGACACAAAGACCAGTGTTATGTAATTGGGACAGATTTTCAAATTAAAGAATAGACCTTATAAAAAGGTAGTTCAATTAATATTTATAGAATAATGCTTTAGCCTGAACCATTTCTACACAAATAACTTGCAGAGCTTGTAATTTTTAGATTATCTCTGCTTTAAGAAGTGTTTTCCACAGTGACTTGGCATTCTTATCACTGTTCAGCAGATTTGACAGGCAGAATTATTCCTTTTCTCTGTGTTAAAGCATTTTCTTTCTCCTGTGTTGCTTTCTCCTGGGTTTCCTCCTGCATTGCCAGTAGCATACGCAGTCTCTTTGGCTGGCTCCACTGCCTTTTCCCAGTCTCTAGGCTGCAGCACTCGGGCCCTCCCATCTGTCCCACACTACCTTTAAAAAAAAATCTGCATTCATATCGTGGCTAGTCTGTTGGGGATTTCTCTAGTTCTGTAGTTTTGTGTACAAACTGTTGAGATCTCCTAATTTTTACCTCCAGTTCTAATGTTTCCCTTGAATGATTTGTACACTAAGTATAGAACCTCCTTTTGGGCATCAAATAGATCACTGAGACTTAACATATCCAAAACTAAACTCTTGAATTTTCTTCCCAAACTCATTATTTCCATCCCCTTGCCCAGTTCAATCAATGGTGCTACAATTTCCTCACTCAATTCAGAAACTTGTTTCATGCATCAGCAAATTCATTCAGCCCGTCTGTCCTCACTGTGTTGTGAATAGTGTCCTTTTTGCCATTTCAGCTGCTTTTGCCTCTGCCTCTGTTACCCCTGGGGCAATTGCTCCAGACTGACCTCCGCAGGTCCAGTCTTACGGCCCTGTGGTCAGTTTTCATAGCCCATCTTGGAAAACCATATTATTTCACTTTCTTGCTCAAAACTTTTCCATAGCTCTCCATGGCATTTAAAAATAAAATCTAAAATCCTGTGCTGTGATATTCAGGACCCTCTGTATAAGCTGCTTCCTTCCAGCTTGCTTCTTCACTCCCCTCACCTAAGACTTTCTCTTTTACTTCTACCTCATTGGCTTTGTTATATGTTCCTTGAACTCTGTTTCTTATTTCTGCTCTACGACCCTTACTATGCCTCACCTTTGTGCACAGTTTTCTTTACCTAGATCTCCATATAGCTTTCTTCTGACATGACAGCATTCAGATGTCTGATTACAGTTCCATTCCTCAGAGAGCCATTCATGTCCACCCAGACTAAGCCATAAAACCCTCAGTTCTCTCTCTCCTCATTGGGTTTCACTTCTCTACATCCTTACTCATGTCTGCATGAGTGACTACAATGTCATTGGGAACACTTATAGAAATACCAGTTTACTTATTTGAGTAAAAACCTTTAAAAGAACTTTCTCTTTTATACAGTACTTTTGGCAAAATTTTTGTGTAATGTGTTCCTCTGCTTTGTTATCAAAACTTCAGAAACTTACCCTGACTTGATTCACCTTGAAAAAAGTTTGAACTTTGCAATGAGTCTCCATTCCAAAATCAAATATGTTGACTAGAATGCATAAAGTGCCTTTGCTATATGCAAACTCCTAAGTACAACTAAAGAACTATGTTAATTCTCAAAATTTGACTTTCTCTTACAGAGCTAAAAGACTTAGAGTACCTCTGAGAAGCAGTATCAAACCAGAGGTCCTAAATTATGTCAGGCTACTAGAAGAAGTATTTTCTTCTAAAATCAACACACGGGCTGGGGACATAGCTCAGTGGCATAAACACCTGCCTGGCAAGTGTAAGATCCTGAGTTCAATCCCCAGTACCACAAAATCAATCAATCAATCAATCAATTAATCAATAAGTCAATCAACACACATAGCCTACCTTTCTATTTATCTAATCAGAAAATGAGCTGTTTGGGGCTGGGGAGATAGCTCAGTAGAATAAGTGCTTTCCTGGCAAGCACAAGGGCCTGAGTTCAATCCCCAGTTCCACCAAAAAGAAAAAGAAAAAAAAAGAAAGAAAATGAACTATTTGACATGTACCTGCTGTATTTTTTTATATTCAGGTAATGACAGAGAAGGAACCGATTCTGCAGTTTTAAAACCAATTTATACACATGGGTTCTGACACAGAGCCTTTCAAAGAGGCAGAGACACTGTGGCTTCTTTTGGTAACTGGAAAAAAAGTTTCAGTAAAGAAATGTCTCAAACTTTTCCTTCTTTATGGCAGAGTAGTACTCTATTGTATAAAAAAAACCACATATACCTTGAGACCATACTCTTAAGTGAAGTAAATCAGAAACACATGTGTAAATACCATGTTACTTCTCTGGTGTGAGAAGAAAAAAATGTAAATAAAGACCTGAATGTATAATAGAAATTCTAAAATAGGAAGAAAATGTTCAAACAGAAACGGGAACAAAGAAGGGGGGAAAGGGAAAGGAAGGAAAAGAAAACAGAAAAAAAAATGAGAAAGGAAGGAAAAAATTGAAACAAATCTTTTGTAAGGAAGGGAAGAGGGATTGAAGGGAGAGTAAAGGAATGGAAAAAAATGGATCACGTTATATCATGTACATGTATAGTACAAATTTCGTGTGATGAATGTGATCACTGCATATACTTAAAATCTATCAA